ATATATATATATATATTTCATATTTCTATATACCGTATTTTCCGGAGTATAAGACATATCGGTCAAAAAAGGCATCATGAAATGGAAAAAAGTACCGTATTTTCCACCTTACAAGTCAGTTTTTTTGCATAATTTACATGCCCTGCGACTTATCGGCTGAAGCGACATATTTATGGCTTTTTTCTCGTATTTATAAACCAATTTTTGGCTGAGATATGACTGTTTTCATTCATTCTGACTGAAAAAATAAATTGAGCAGTACCACTTTCAGCCACTTGATGGTATCAGAATAGTAGAATCCGTGAGGCATGCTGTTGTATCACGTAATAGGTAAACGTGGCTATAATGACAAATTCAAAGAAGTTCAAGACAAAAACAACTAGACTTTATTCATTATTCTTTATACTTTATTGTTTTTTCTTGAACTTTTTTGAATTTACCATGTCCTGGATGACTGAGAATCTTCACCAGCTTTCAATGACTCAATCGGCCTGCCATAAACTTCCCAGCTTCCTTCTGCGCGCTGCTTGGAACCTTTAAACCAGCTGCACCGCCCCGTCGAAATACAGCTAATTTGACCATTAAAGTGCATTTATTAAGCAAACGTTAGACTGAGACACACCTTTTGTTATAATTTTGAGCAAATTGTTTTTAGGTGTTTAAATTGTTAAATTTGCACAACGACTTGTCGCGTGCACGTTTACTTCCACGTATCGGCTTTTGAAATACAGCCGATTTGACCGTCAAAGTGCATTTATTAAGCAAACGTTAGACTGAGACACACATTTACTATAATTTCGAGCAAACAAATAATTGTTTTAAGTGTTATTCTTGTTAAATTCTTGTTAAAGTCCTCCTGTGCATGCTCCCATGGCCGCCATTCGGCAGCCAATCGATTTTTGGCACAACACCAGCCCACATTTCCAGGTTGTCAGCGGTGACGCATAATAGATGCGACGTATACAGCGAAGCGACATACTTATGGATTTTTCCACTTTTATTAGACAAATATGGACTGATGTGACTTATCGGGTGGAGTGACGTGTACGGCGGAAAATATGGTATAAAAGTCGCATTTATTATGCATCACTGTGGCGCTGACACGTCGCATTTATTATGCGTTTATTTAATGGTCAAAACAGCTTCATTTCACCTGGACAGCATGGCGCCATCCATCCATCCATCCATCCATCCATCAAGGCCTGAGCTGCTAGCTCTCCAACGTTTCTCTGCCTGCACCAGCTGAGTGAAGCGAGTGCTTGCGGGAGTACTCGCTGTTGCAGCTCTTCGAAATTTAAAGCATCAGTCAAAAATTGCGTTATGAATATGGGGAAAAAAACATGGCATATAAGCCACAGGACTGACAAATCAATGCAAAAAAAAACCTGTGACTTAAATGCCGGAAAATACGGTATAAAACGATTTGTGTTTCACATGATACTTTCATGGATCAGAGGTCTTAAGTGCAGCACCAGCAGCTGCTCATTTAGTGTTGAGAGCTGTGGACTTGTCCTCACCCATGGAGATTTCCTGCGTGTGAAGCTGCTCCTGATACAAGTCCACCGCTGTTTTCAGATACTCCTCCAGACTCTCGGCGTAGTCGCTGCAGTTCAGTGGCAGCACCAGACTGTCAGCCAGCCGGATAAGGACGTTCCCTGCTGTCCTGGCTACTGCTTGGTGACTCACAAACCCTGAGAGACAAAAGAAGATTGTAATGTTTGGAAGGAGAGTAACTCTCTGGAAACTTTGGTAAGAGAACTATAAGGAACTATTTGGAAGATGAAGATTGTCATCTGCAGCACAATAACAAATTGTAAAAATACAACGATGGAGCACAAATAGCCTGAAAAAGAAATGGCAACGCTCACCAGGATCAATGAACGTTGAAGCGTAGTCAAAGGTATCATATGCTGTATGGTAGGCAGGATAAATCCGAGCATTTGTTTTACTCTGTGTGAGGAACAGCAAGCAATTTAGATACTTTAAAAAAAAGTTAGTAAAATCTGCTCAAACACGTATTGAAATACAGATTTAATAAAAGATAAAACAGCACAACTTAAAGAAACAGAGAAATGCAACTTGCCCTGTCATATGTGTAAGACATATCCACGGAAGCGATTCCCAGGTAATGAACAAAGGCAGCGTAGTCACTTCCTGCTCCTGTCAAATATCCCACACTGTGGAAAGAAACACATGAATAAATTTTCCTGAAAGAATGACAAATCTACTAGTTTTCTTATTCAAACACACAACTTCTCCTCCTCCACCATAACCCTCAGCATTGGCTCCCCTCAGGGCTATGTGCTGAGCCCTCTCCTGTTCACTCTGCTCACGTATGGCTGCGCACCTACTCATCCATGCTGTCACATTGTAAAGTTTGCAGATGATACAGCGGTGGTGGGATGCATCACAAACAACGATGAGTCCAGCTACAGGCAGGAGGTGGAACACCTGGAGAGCTGGTGCAGGAATAACAACCTTCACATCAATGCGAAGAAGAGGAAGGAGATGGTCGTGGACTTCAGGAGGGAACACCCCCCCCCCCCCCCCCCAAAAAAAACAAAAAAAAAAACAACAACAGGAGGATCTGCGGTGGAAGTGGTCTCCAGTTACAGGTACTTGGATGTGCACCTGAATGACAACCTCAGCTGGGGCAACAACACCACCAGCCTGATCAAGAAAGCTCATCAGAGACTCTATTTCCTCAGGCGGCTGAGACGAGCTGGACTGGGAAGCTCAGTCCTCACCTCCTTCTACAGGTGTGCAGTGGAGAGCACCCTGTGCTCCAGCATCAACGTGTAGCATGGAGGCTGCACAGCTGCAGAAAGAAAAGCTTTGCAGAGAGTGGTGAAGGCTGCACAGAAGTCTGCTGGAGTCAGTCTCCCCACCATCACAGACATCTACACCTCCAGATGCAGGAAGAGGGCCACCTGCATCATGAAGGACCTTACCCACCCAGCACACACACTTTTCGCCCCACTCCCCTCAGGAAGGAGGTTAAGGAGCATTAAGTGTAGAACCATTAGTCTGAGGAACAGCTTCTACCCTGAGGCTGTTAGACTCATGAATCTCTAACCAGAATAATCACTGTGAAAAATCACATCATGTTGCTGCTGATCTGTTTCATGTTGCTGCTGATCTGTTTCATGTTGGTGTGTTCATTCATACTCATCTGCTCACACAGACTCATGTTTGTGCTGCTGTTTGGCATATTGTTTTTATGCTATTAGTGCATATTTTTAGTTGATGTTTTTCTTAGTTCATATCTTAGATCTTATTACTGTTTTTCTTTTACATTTTATTGTTGGATGTAACTGGGACCCTGTGTACACAATCTTGATACACCACATGTACCACATGTGGTGCGAATGACAAATAAAGAATCTCTGACTCTGAATCAAAGTGTCTCAATCTCATACAGCTGATTTTTTTTTTTTTTAATATACATATTTTTGTCTGGAAGACTAAAACTACCATATTTCAAAATAAATGCATAAATAAATAAGTGACTGATTATCTGCCACTCAACTGATTACTGAAAAGTCTGAGATTTTTAACATGTATGACGTTTAGCAAATAATCAGGTTGATGTGAAAGTTTAAATAAAAAATGTTTATCATTCCTGAGTGGATCTCAGTACCTTGGAATGAGACCGTAGGTCGGGCTGGTTTTGTTGAAGTAACGCTTCCAGTTATCGTACACGTTTGTGGAATCCAGTCCAGGTGCGCTGACCTGTTATTGAGCAATAAACCACATGTCTACATGAAGGTGTCTATTAGCTGTGTTCAGTTTAAAATGATTGTTATAAACACCAGGACTGACTGGAAACAATAATAAAAAAAAAACAATGTACTTGTTTTGTGGCTTTGAAGATGACGTTTTGCAGAGACGGCATCCCCGCGGCTCTGAAGGTGGCATTGGCTGAGGAGTTTAAAAAAAGAAGAGATGAGTTAAACTATTGTGTGAATTCCAAAACCTCAGCCTTCAACTCAAAATAATCAACACAATCAACTAGATTATTTACATTATTTCCTTATCAACTAGATTATTTACATTATTTCCTTATCATCTAGATTATTTACATTATTTCCTTATCAACTAGATTATTTATATTATTTCCTTATCAACTAGATTATTTACATTATTTCCTTATCAACTAGATTATTTACATTATTTCCTTATCAACCAGATTATTTACATTATTTCCTTATCAACTAGATTATTTACATTATTTCCTTATAAGTCCACACAACATTTGTCCGTTCGTCCGTCCGTCCGTCCGTCCGTCCGTCCGTCCGTCCGTCCGTCCGTCCGTCCGTCCTTCTATCTATCTATCTATCTATCTATCTATCTATCTATCTATCTATCTATCTATCTATCTATCTATCTATCTATCTATCTATCTATCTATCTATTTAGCCATCTATCTATCTAGCCTTGTCTGTCTGTCTGTCTCTCCATCTGTCCGTCCATCTGTCCATCTGTCTCTGTAGTAAACACACACATACAGCCAGAAACATTCTAATTCAAAGTGGAGTTTGACCCTCTTACCAAAGACAGCTATGTCCACATTTATGTAAGCTACAGTGCGTTCACTCAGCTTGGTGAAGTATTCCTACAGGACAGAAAAGAGAATTTTCTTTCTTTTTTATCTTTCTCTCAGTGGACGTAGACATTGAATAACGGGACATGAATCATTGACCCAGTGAAATGCTTTATCGGTAAAGACTTCTTTAGATTAGCCGTCGTAAAACGACTGTGGTGTGAACATTTACATGAGCAGAAGTTTTGATGCTTTTCGTTTCTTCTGAATAACTTCTTCAATTGTTTTCTCGTTTGTGAGTCATTAAAATCTTTCATCAGTCTCTTAAAAACCAAAAATAGTTTCAACTTAAAGCAGTTTAGAGTTTAATTGGCACAGTCCTTGCTGTTTATTCCAGTTTGAGGAGTTAAATGAAAATCACCTCTGCGTACTCCGCCGACCCAATAAGGCCGAACTCTTCAGCTCCCCAGCTCCCAAAGATGATGGACCTACGAGGCCTCCATTTTCCTGCCTCACAGAAGCACAGAGATGAACTGATTTTTATAATCAACACTATCAGACAGCCACTTCTTCCAATTACTGGATGACTCTTCTAACCTTGTTTGACCATTCTGCCCAGTACCCTGCTGATTTCCAACATGACCGACGTCCCGCTGCTTGGGTCAATGGCACCATGTACCCAACTGTCCCTGTGGTTCCCATAGATCACATACCTGTCTAAAGAATGCCGAGGAAATTACAGACACGACACGTTAAAAGCAGTTGACGTATTAGTGTTTTGGATTCAGTCACCGCTCTCACCTGGTTCAACACTTCCTCTGATAACGCCCATCACATTGGGGGAGTTTACTACCTTTCCATAATTGAAGATGTCCATATTTACATTGCTAGGGGACAAGAAAAAGACTGTTTGCATATAGCATTCATCTTTGGTGATTATAAATAAAAGAACCTGAATAAAATATATTTAAACTCCAGGTTCACATTCAAAATCATAAAATCCTCTGATGCAGTTTGTATCAGTGTGCAGACAAATTGAATTGTGGGTTTGTTGTTTTGCTTTGCCAGCTTGTGGTTAAATCTTAAATAACAACTTAGATTTGAATACAGAGCTCAAAGTTTCTGCTAGGTGTTTCAGATTTAACCACCGTGGCAGGGGTCTGCAACCTGTGGCTCTGGGGCCACATGTGGCTCTTTAGTCTCTCATCTGCAGCTCTATGAAGCTGTGATCAAAACTTACAGGAAATTTAATTGTTCTGGTTTATAAACCAACAAAAAAGGCTAGTTTTGGTTGCTATTTTTTTTTTGTAATTTTTCTGCAAATGTTTGAAGGACTCCATTATTTTTTGCTTTATTACTTCAAAGATACAGTGGTCCCTCGCAACTTCACGGTTCGACTTTTGCGGACTCGCTCTTTTGCGTTTTTTCAAAGTAAGATTGGACGTGACACACAACTGGCTGAGTGATAGATGAGCTGCACGAGCGGCATGTCATGATCTCCGCTCTCTGCCACCTGCCAGCGATTGCAGCAGAGAAGTGGGCGTGGCTGAGAGAGGTAGGTGGCAGCGAGCAGAGATCAGGACATGCTGTGCTCTTTTAGAGCGTTTAGAGTTTAGAAACATTTTTTAAAATATTGCAAGGGTGTGGGAAAGGTTTAAAATGCCTTAATATATATAAAAATACTAAAATAAACTACTATTTACTACTACTACTTGTACTACTTGTACTACTTTGTGGTTTTTCACTTATCACAGGGGGCTGGGAAAGGAACCCCGCGATAAATGAGGAACTGTACTTAATTTTTAAAATATAAAATAATTGGCGGGCCGAGATGGTGTAGGAGCAGGGCATCCAACTCAGGACCCAAAGGTCCTGGGTTCGATCCCTGGTCATTGCACATCTCATGGTGTCTCTGAGCAAGACACCCAATCCCAAACAGCTCCCCAGTAGCCCACGTAGCTGCCCACCGCCCAACCTGGGTGTATCCCAGATGCAATGGGTTAAATGCAGAGAGCCAATTTCATCTTTGTATGGGAACGTACAATGATGACAACACATAGCACTTTATTATTATTATTATTATTAATGATTTCTCCTCACATAAAAGGGTGCATGGGCCTGCAGAGTTCATCGTTTTCATTTTCATCTAAAAGGTAGAAGCTAGAGATTTTTCTTCTTTACATACTGTAATAGAGTTTTTTTTTTTGTCCCACAATGCAAAAATATGAATAAATGTTTAAATTCTTTATTGATTCTTTGTTTTATAATGTCACTTCAGCTGGTATGAAAATCCTCTTTCAACTAAGTCAAAGTGGCCCATGGGCCACCAGTTGATCATCACTGTTGTGGAAGGCTTTGTGGCTCCGTGTTTTTTTTTATTTAACGAGCGAAGTGGCAGAAATAGTTCTTTGATCAAAAAGTTTGCAGACCTCTGCACCATGGTGTCCTCCCCTTTTGATTGACTCATCTTTTGACCAACTGGACCAACCTCTCCAGAGCCAATAATCCACCGAGTACTAACTCCATACCAAGTATAGTTACTTTAATTTGGACCGTTGAGGGTAAAAATCCAAAGACCAAACTTTTGTATATTCCACAAAAAATTAAGCTTCTAATTTATTATCCTTATGTTTTTTCTCATGTTATAGGCATTTTGGAGGGGACTGTTTATGGGTTACAGGTGATAAAAATGTTAACTTGTTTCATAGAACAGAAGGCATCAACCATTCAGTGCATGTTGCTGTCCTCTTTTGACCTGATCATCCAAAACACATTTTATTAACAGATGTAAATAGAGACAATTATGTTTCTCTCCACCATATTCTACCACTAGCATTTGTTTCCCCCCTAAAAATTGAAGTAGACTTTTATTTGTTCAAATAAATGCAATAATTTTTAAATGTAATTAAGATTAAAATATACTGTGCAAAGTATATTAATTTAAAAACACGCAGCTTATTGGAAATACACTGTAAAGCTTTGTAAAGTGTGATTTTTACATCTGGATATCTGATGTGTAGTTGTACATGTTAATACTGTTACTGATGAACTAATCTTATAAGTTTTATTGAAAAGGAAGCATGAAAAGTGATGACCACCTGTCGTTAAAATCAGATGTAGGTTTAAACCCCGGAGCTCCATAATTGTAGGTGCAGTTAAATCCTCCCTGCCAATCAGTTGGAGCTGCATCTCCACCCAACGCACTATAATGATCCAAAGAGGATAGAAGAAAAAAAAAAAAAACAGTTAATTTGGAGTCATGCACTTTAAGCATTAATTATTCCACAAACGCATTTGTCACAAACCAAATCAGAATGTACGCATCCTCAAATCCAATTGGTTGTGTTGGAATGGGAGGGAGCCCTTTAATATCTGCCTCTGGGATTCTGTAGGTCCCCTCTGCCAAAAATAAAGGTGCAACAGTTAGTTATGAAAATACTGTGATTGTGTGTAAGTTTGAAGATTGTTACAGAGGACAGACGTTACCTTTGGCAGCCAGGTACGGTGTGAGCAAATCTCCAAACTGGCTGTTATAGGAACCTCTCTCCACACCAGTTGGCGGCAGGTACCACGAGTGAGGATACGTCTCATTGACGTCAGACATGAGGCCATCGTTCATGTCCAGAGGGTCCGTGTACACGAGCACCCCAATGACACCATAAGGTGCTGCATTGATGGCCTGCGTGAGAAACAACTTCAGTAAACAACTGAATTTAACAAAGAAATTAACAGATTAATGCTTCAATATTTCTCTCAAGCCAACAAAGTTCAGTCAGGTCATCTGGACGGTTTATTTTTTGTTGAGATGTTTCGTCCATCAACCAAAGAACTTTATCAGTCCAAAGAGACACAGAATGTTTTGAACCACTTTGGCTATGGCTGCCTCATAGGAGGAGTTGACGAGGGAGAGGGCGGGCCCCAGAAACCATCTTATCACTACCAAACTGGTTGGTCCATTATGTGGGTATGCTGTAGAGCTATCATTTCTAACCCGGGACCAAAGCCCTGCTCAGCCCGACCAGAATTTGGGCTGGGCCATAATAATGTGCTGGATGGGTGGACCGGGTCAGTGTCGGGCTTTTGATTGTGTCAGAGGACCAGCTGCAATCCAATTATATGGTAACATGGCTTGCCATACATTCACCAGCCGCACGCGGCCATTTGATCACAAGGTGAGCCGACCGGCCTTGAAAGAGGTAAAATAAAGTTCAGTTAAGCTTTAGAAGGGACTACCGGTCCTGCCAGGAAGCGATCCATCGCCCAAATGGACGTTCAGCTGCTGCACTCAGCGGACGAGCACGGCCAACGACCCAAACAGGTGAGATCCCAAAGCAGACATGTCAGAGCAGGGCCCGTGTTTGAATAATGCAGAATGCAGGCAGAATCAGGGTTTTAATGTTCTTTGACGGCCATGAAAGGACAAACACCCCCTCAGCTCCGATCTTCTGCCCCTTTTATTCAGCCGACCATTAATAACTATATAAGCAGTCAAAGCTTAATTTAAAATGTCAGATGAGATTTTTGGGTTCGGACCTGTAATTACTGTTAATTCGTCGGGTCGGGTGGGGTTTGGAAATGATGGCTATGAGCTGGGGATGGGTCGGGTCTGATTTTTTTTGGGCCCGAATCCAACTCTAGTGAGCTGCTTTGTGCTGGGACTGTTTGTTGTGTCTCCTCAGACTGATGAAGCACTTTGGATGAAGAACAAAATGTCTCAACAAAAAAAGAAACCGTCCAGAGGACATGACTGAACTTTGTTGTATTTTTTTACCTGGATTATTGAGCATGAACTTTAATATTTCTCTCAAGCCACACAAGGGGTAACATTGTGACTACAAACTTTATGCTGCTCTTGGTATTTGGTCAACTTGGATTTTAAGGTTTTTTTCAAAGTATAGACTACGTTCTTATAAGTATCCAATTCTTTAACATCCAAAGCACATGAACAATAAAACAACGTTCTAATGTTAGGTCAAAAGAAATGAACTTGAGTGCACAGCTCTTATCTAATAAATCACTGGAGCAATGGGAACAAAAACAACCATCAAAACTTTATGTATTTATTTGTTTTGTGAAGGTCTAGAATCTTTAAGCACGTCTAGGATGGTAGTTTATGTCTTTCTTTGACTGCAACGTGTTCACACTTTTATTTTAGCAGAAAATTAGTTCTTCCGGAGCACATTTGAGATCTTTACATTAGAGCTACAGTCACGTCTCATTGTTGACCAGTTTAAGACAGTTCATCACGCGTTTGCTAACAGCACTTTTAGGTGAATGCATGCTTTATTTGCTTTATAGAGCTTCCTGTTCTATGATTAAACTGATGTACTGTATTCCCCTAAATCACTACTTTGACTTTCTTATACTGAAAAAAGAAATTAAACACTAGAAATAGTGGCACTGTCCCAGGGGGTGACGGGTGATAGAAGTAATAAATTCCTATGAGGGCATCATTCACTTTAAAAATGTATCAGTGATAGAATTTGCTTCTTCTTCTACTTCTTCGTCTTTTGGCTTCTCCCTCTTCGGAGGTCGCCACAGCGAGTCATCCTCCTCCATCTCACTCTGTCCTCTGCATCCTCTGTCCTCAGTCCATACCTCCATGTCCTCTCTAACTGCATCCATATACTGTATCTCCTCTTTGTATTTTTCTTGGCAGCTGCATTTCTAACATCCTTCTACCAATATACCCACTGTCCCTCCTCTGACCATGTCCAAACCATCTCAGTCTGGTCTCTCTAACTTTGTCTCCCAGTTGTTCAACTTGTGCTGTACCTCTGATGATCTCATTCCTAATCTTATCCATCCTTGTCACTCCTGAGGAGAACCTCAACATCTTCATTTCTGCCACTTCCAGTTTTTTGTCAGTGCCACTGTCTCCAGACCATACAATATAGCTGGTTTCACCACTGTCTTGTAAACTTTTCTCCATCCTCTCCATCCTGCCTGGACTCTCTTTTTCACTTCTTTACCACACTCCCCCATTTTCCTGGACAGTGGACCCCAAGTACTTGAAGTCCTGCACCTTTGTGACCTCTGCTCCTTGTAGCCTCACTCTGTCTTACTACAGCTGACTTTCATTCCTCTTCTTTCAAGTGCATACCTCCACTTCTCCAAGTTCTCTTCCACCTGATTCCTGTTCTCACCACAGATCACAATGTCACCTGCAAACATCATAGTCCACGGGGATTCCTGCCTGACCTCATCTGTTAACACTGGTATACTATCACTGGCACCAGTCAGTGATAGTATACATGATACAAAAGTTGTTTTTATTGTTTAGTTGCAAAATAAAAATACATAATTCTTTACTCACATATCTAGGACCTTAATAATATTTGACCTGGACTGTGGGTTTGCGTATTCTAATGCCACAATAGTTTGTTACCTCTGAACAAAAAAAAGGGCTTTTATTTAGGACCAGACATACTTTCGCTCCTCTTCCTGCTCCTCCATATCTGGTGATAGCGATGGTTCCTCTGAGGTCGACTGTTCGGTTCAGATGGTCGTAATCGCTGAGTTTCCCCTGATTAGCGTAAACCAGTTTCCCCTAAAAGCATCAAAAAGATTCAAATTCAGTCAATACAGAACTGAAAACCTGAAAATCTTCTAGATCTTTCCATTTTGTAGATTTATAGAATAAATTTAGCAACCACAATTTTGAAATTGGAGACAAAAATCATAAAACAGATGTTCTTATCTCTGTGAATCATCTTCAAGTTGGTGGCTTATACAATCTGTGTGATCAGATAAAATGTTCAAAAGGGTCTGTCCTTCAGGATGTGTTATCTGATGTAGAAATATTTTAGTTGTTCTAGTAAACCAGCAGTCAATAATTAAGCAGGAAAGTTTTCTTTTCCTCTTCTGGTTGGTTTAGACACCGAATTAGGTAAGAACCGTTTTGTCTTATTGACACGTTATGCACAATCTGAAGATAGAGTTGTTTTCTTTTTCTCAAACAGCTTAAATGGGGAAAACATTATTTCAACCCATCGTTAAAGGCTCAGGGAGGAATGTTAAGGGGGAAGATGAAGTTTGGGGTTTCATGGATATTACATTGGATAATTAAATAACATAAACAACAACAACAATGTAGAAAACAACTTTTAAAGATGAGGTTTGGAAACTCTTAGTCTCAGTCATTGAAACTCACAATATGAAAAAATAAACTTTTTTTCTTCAGAATGTGGAATTGAAGCTGAATCTAATCAAACATTTGAATGTTTACCTCAGACATATTATTGCCATAGTTTCAGAAAAGGGGGTTGAAAATTTGGGAAGAAGCAAGGCTGCTCAGGGTGCCACAGCACTCCATGGATGACATGAAATAACATATAACAAATCTAAAATAAATAAAGTAAATGATTAAAAAACATGCACAGTGGTCCCTCGCTACTTCGGTTCGTTTGTCGCGGACTCGCTCTATCGCGGTTTTTCAAAATAAGATTGGACATGACACACAACTGGCTAATTGATGGATGAGCCGCACGATCGGCATGGAATTTTTTATTTAAAATAAATTATTTTAAATTATTTAGCACCTCCTGCACCTTTGTGCAGCCCACACTGCAGGATAAACTTCCTGCTGCAGCTGATCGGCTGTTCTGCGTGCAGAGCTGAGAAGTGGGCGTGGCCAAGAGCGCTTGCAGGTGGCTGAGAGCAGAGAGCTGAAATCATGACATTCTGCGCTCTTTTAGAGCGTTTAGAGTTTAGAAACATTGCTTAGGATATTGCAAGAGTGTGGGAAGGGCTTAAAACTCCTTTACATATATATATATATATATATATATATATATATATATATAAAATACTACTTACAACTTGTACTACTGATAGTGTGGAGGCAGGGCAGTTGACTCGGGAACCAAAAATCCCAGGTTCGAGCCCAAGTCATTGCACATCTCGTGGTGTCACTGAGCAGCACACCCTATCCCCAGTTGCTCCCCGGGCACTTTCAATAGCTGCCCACTGCACCACCTGATGGTGGATGGGTTAAATGCAGAGATCCAATTTTGCCATTGTATGGGAACATACAATGATGACAATACATAACACATTATTTTTTTTTTCCTACTTCGCGGGTTTTCATTTATCGCGGGGCTTCAGGGTACGTATCCCCCACGATAAATGAGGGACCACTGAAAACACATTATGTCAGTTTATAATGTAAATATACGTTTTTCTGATAATGACAATTTTGAGGTAAATTCAGTTTCTGTTTAGTCACATCCCTGTTTGGAGTACTTCAGTGTTTATCACAGCAACCTGTATTAAAAACACCTCCCCACTGATATGTTGGTGTCCCGTGTAAAGCATCAGCTGGAGCTTTGAGTGATTATTGTCGTCGTCTTATCGTCTGACAAAATCTAAAGTAGGTGTGACAAAAAGTCACAAGGCGTGAAAGTTTTAGATTGGGATCTCAGAGTTTACGACTGAAAAGTTCAGACTTGTTTGCTCTGAGTCATAAAATTTGATCATCATGTGATGGTTTTTTACCGTTTTAGTGAATTACTTTGTGGAACTTTGTATCTCGGATGCCCCATAAACACAAACTGTGCAAAGTACCTGCGCACGAACGTGCAATAAAACACAGGGGGGGGGGGGGTGGAAATTCTGATGTGGTTCCTGATCTAATCGTTCGGTTTTTGAGGCAGCTTTAAACATTGTTTAAGATGCTGCAACGTTTTTGTTTTTTTGTTACCCTAGATTGTCCTGGAGGAGAGTACGCAGCGTATGGCTGAACCACGTCAGGATCTTCTTGGTCCGGAGTATAAGGCTTCTCCTTTTCTCTGGCAGTGTGCAACACCGTACCAGACTGGCTCACTGGAAATTGAAAGTCATATATGAGTTAGTGGGACTCTCTGGGAAATACCACGATGAAAATCTCCCCAGCGTTAGAACCAAGTTTTCACCCTATAACAGGACTATTCAACTGGTGGCTCAGGGGCCAAATCAGGCCCACGGGTGTGCTCAGTTCAGCCCACCAATGGGATCATTTATAAATGAAACTAGATTTTAAATAATAAAACCTTAGATAATAAGAATAACTGCTGGAAGTCTGGCCATTGAACTCTTGGTTTTCAGTAACTGTGCTCCCACAAACAATTTGGTTGAATAGCCCTGCCCTAAAGCCTCCTAACTGTATTCACCGAGTATTTAAAAACAGGCTGAATGAAGACAAGACTGCAAGTACCCCTGCGGTCTTCAGTGCATGTTTAGTATCACTTCCACTCACCAACAGTAATTTTATTTGGTTTATTGGGGTCGGGAAATGAAAGATAGACCAGATATTCTTCTCTCCAGGCCTGATCGAGACCACTGTCAGGATTCTGCCATCTCTTTAACATGAGCTGCACCGTCTGCTCGTCTCCAGCTGTGGTGGCCATATGAGGCACTTTGGTCAACTCCCTATGAAGGAATTTTTGGAATTAAAAAAACAACAAAAAGCTTGATTTATTGGCATGTTGGGGAGGAAAAAGGCTCAACAAACGACTGTAAACACCTTAAAAAAACCTCTACAAATTTATTTATTTTTTAAATCTCATGATTTTCACATTTTGCTTTAAATGTTTTTATGCTCTCACAATTTCATCACTTTTCTAGCAGTAAAATATATAAAAAAAAAACCTTCACAAAATGCAAATGACTGACATGTGATTTTAATAATGCATCAACTCACCTCAGGTTCTCCTGAATTTTCACGTTATCCACCTCTGATAAAAACTGTTGAATGAGCTTCTCATCCACATCCTTGGCCACATCCTTCACCCAGGACGGTGCAGAGTCGCCGCTCTTTGTGATGCCAAAGTGACCGATCAGGATTCCTGCAGTCAGCACGACAGACACACACAGAACCCCGATCAGCACCTGCTTCAACATTCTGCACCTCAAGATGAGCTCCTCCGTAACACAGTTGGACTCTGCTTGGATGTGAGGATTTTTCTTTTGGTGCTTGGCTTTCCTCAGTGGTTACTTTGTTTTTTATAACCTATAAATCCTGAGTTGTGTCATAAAAATGTTTGCATCTCATTCCAAAATGCAACAACGTGCAGCTGCTGAAGTCACCGCTCATAAGACATGGTCCCTGTGAAGTTTACTCAGTAATATTTGCAGACGGGATGGACTTTATCCCTTTGTGTGTGTATGTGCATGTGTGTGTGTGTGTGTGGGGGGGGGGGGGGGGGGAGATAATCACTTTTTTAAATGATTACTTTAAAACAAATATAGAAAGTTTTTGTGAATTATTGTTTTTATTGAAAACACTATTTAAAGTATAAAATTATATAATCTCATGGTGCAACAAGAAACAACAATGGGACATAATGACTAAAAAATGTTGCCTAACTAATCTGAGTCACTTTTATATAAGTTTTGTTAGTCTGAGGTCCATTTTCTGTGCCAGAGCCAGATAAATCCAACATTTGTTAAGGCTGATGATTTGTATGGCTTCCTTTGAAGAATTATGATGATCTTCAAAAAAAAAAAAAAAAAAAAAAAGCTGATAAACTGTAATTTTATCTTTTGTCTTCTACCTCTTGTTCTTCATTCATAAAAGTAAACATTTTTTGAGCAACATCAGTTATTTGTCTGTCAGTTATGCAGAATAACATTTAGTAAATTAGTCACATCTCAAGACAACTTCCTTTGTTTTCAAAGTACACAAATTTTAAAACTCTACATGATTTATGACTTCAAAAACAAAACTAGTATTTGGATTGGTTTAATTTTCTCAGGTTAAAAAGGAACTCATCAAACACAACAAACCTTGAGAAATGCATAAAAGGTGAAAAAGACTATTGTCGAAAGCAAGGAATAGTTTAGGAAACTCATATACGTTAAAAAAAATCAATATGGAAAATGCAACATTTTGTAAAATGTCTGCTGAATATGAGAGTACTTGTCCAATTTTAGTGCACAGAAAACATAAAGGATGATTATTCTTGCTTTAATTTTCCATCCATCCATTATCTTTACCTGCTTCTTCCTTTACGGGTCGCGGGGATCACTGGTGTCCATGTCCAGCCTTCATTGTGCAAGAGATGAGGTGCAGCCTGGACAGGTCTTCAGTCCATCACAGGGCCACATGGAGACAAACAGCCATCCACTCTCATGCACACCTAGGAACAATTTAGAGTTACCAATCAGCCTGACATGCATGTTTGTGGTCTATGGGAGGAAACAGAAGTATCTGGAGAAAACCCACACATGATGCATAAAGAGATCATGCAAACTCCACCCAGAAAGGTTCCCCCGCCGGGATTTGAGCTGATCGACCTGTTTGCTGAGAGGTGACAGCTCTACCAGCTGCGCCACCGTGCTGCCCCCATAGGATGATTATTCTTGCTCTATTTGTTAATGCTCTTTAAAAAAAACAAGAAGATCCAAACTGTTTGTAAGAAAAGTAAATCATGATATGAATAAAAAATAAAAACATTAACAAACAATTTTTTACTTTTTCAGTGTGTCTCCTGTTTTATTACTCTAGTTATAGTTTTCAGAAGTCAAGTCAAGTCAGATTCATTTATAGAGCACATTTAAAACAGAAACTGTTACCAAAGTGCTTAACAAAAATATCACATCATCAAATAAAAAGTAGCAAGATATGTTTACAGCACATGGAATAAAAATATAAAACCAAAAACAATTAGAAACAATGAAATACTAAATCAGATCACGTTGTGTCAAAAGTCAAGGAAATAATAACAAAAAGCATAAACTCAGTCAGAAACAATGAAATACTAAATCAGATCTGATGACCTTGTGTTAAATAGGAATAATAACAAAAGCATAAACAGAATCAGCATCAATGAAAAACCAGATCTAAATCTGATCACCCTGTGTTAAATGTCAATGAGTATAGATGTGTTTTTAGGAGAGATTTAAAAGCAGAGACTGAGGTGGCCTGTCGAATGTTGATGGGCAGATTGTTCCAAAGTTTAGGGCCCACGACTGAAAATGCTCGATCGCCTCTGAGCTTCAGCCTGGTTTTTGGTACGGCCAAAAGCAGCTGGTCTGATGATCTCAAAGCCCGAGAAGGAGTATAAGGATGAAGAAGGTCGGAGAGATATGATGGTGCAAGGCCGTTAATGCACTTGAATGTCAGCAGGAGAATTTTAAAATCAACTCTGACACGTACAGGAAGCCAGTGAAGGGAGGACAGAACTGGAGTAATGTGCTCAAACCTGTGAGTTCCTGTTAGTAGCCGAGCTGCAGCATTTTGTACGAGCTGGAGACGTGAAAGTGAAGCCTGACTAACCCCAACATAAAGCGAGTTACAGTTGTCCAGCCGGGTTGTAATAAATGCATGGACTAGTTTTTCAAGGTCGGATCTGGACAGAACGGACTTAAGCTTTGCTATTTGCCTTAGCTGAGAGAAGCTTTTTTGTAGAACAGAGTTGATCTGTTTATTAAACTTAAAGTCCGAGTCTAACACTACCCCGAGATTGGTAACCGACTGCTTTAGATGAGGCTGAAGGGAGTCCAGGTTTACAGGATCAGTGACAGTGGTAGAGCTTGGGTTAAACACAATGACCTCAGTCTTCTGATCATTAAAACTCAAGAAGTTTGCAGCCATCCAAGTCTTGATGTCATCAAGACATTTTAGCAAAGGGTGGATGGAACAGGAACTGTTTGGTTTTAAAGGCAGATAAATCTGAGAATCATCGGCGTAACAGTGAAACGAAATACCATGTTTCCTCAGGATTGACCCCAAGGGGAGAAGATACAATGAGAACAGAAGGGGTCCAAGAATGGAGCCTTGTGGGACCCCACAGGAAAGAGGGACAGAAGCAGAAAAATGATTGTCAAAGTTAACACAGAAACTCCTGTCACCCAGATACGAACGGAACCATTCTAGCGCCACCCCTGTAATCCTAACCCAGTGTTCTAGCCGTGACATAAGGATGCTGTGATCAACAGTGTCAAATGCAGCGGTAAGGTCGAGGAGTACCAGGATCACAGACCAGAGTCATTCGCTAGCAGAATGTCATTACAGACCCTTACTAAAGCCGTCTCGGTGCTGTGCAGTTGTTTAAATCCTGATTGAAAAATCTCAAAAATTCCATTTACATTCAAAAACTTGGTTAGTTGTCTAAAAACTATTTTCTCCAAGATTTTAGAAAGAAATGGAAGTTTTGAGATTGGCCTGAAGTTTGAACAAGCTGCAGGGTCAAGTCCGGGTTTTTTAATTAATGGAGTTACCACTGCATGTTTTAAAACATTGGGGACCACACCTGTAGCCAAACTGCTGTTAATAATGGCAAGAACAGAGGGTCCAGTTGACGGTAGAACCTGTTTAAAAAATGCAGCAGGGATGGGATCAGCAGGGGAGCCTGAGGGTTTCATGTGACCAACGACCTCATTTAAAAATGAGAGTGACATGGGGTCAAAGTGACTGAAGACTGCTGAGCAGGGGACAAGAACTGAAGGGTCGGCTGTGGAGTGTGGAATTGATGACCTAATCGACTCAACCTTTTCAACAAAATGCCTGACAAACTTATTACAGGTGTCAACAGAGGCCTCAATGGTGGCAGACTGAGGCACGTTTAGAATGGTGTTAATGGTGTTGAAAAGAACGCGGGGGTTGTGACTGTTTGAGTTGATAATTTTTGAGAAATATTTGTTTTTCTCCTGTTTAACGGTGGTCTGATAGGCTTTCCAACATGTAATTAACATCTCAAAAACACAGAAGTTGTCTGTGTTTTTTTTTTTTTTTTTTAATATTGTAGAGGTTTTTTTAATTGAGTTTATGTGCTTTCTCCGATTATGTTGTTCTTTGCTCATCAGAGCCACAACTTTATCAGTTTGCACGACAAAAAGGGCATAAATTTAAATACAATTTAATTTAAATTTGAGCTGTGGCGCCCTCTGGTGGTCGAATGTAAGATCGTCAAAAATAAAACTACTTCCTGGTTCTTTCCCTCAGCGTCCCTCGCGCGTTTTAATCCATTTTTGAAGCAACGCGACGCAGTGATGCTACTTTAGCAACAAAAGTGTAGCCTGTCAGCGATTTATTTATTTTTTTGGTGAAAACCGAATGAATGTTGTCTTTCCTCACAGTTCTCGGGTTTTTTGTGTTATAGGAGACTTTAAATGGAGAATGTGATAGTTTTGTGTGTGGGACACGGAACCTGTCTGTCAGCCCCTCAATCGTTTCTTCCGGTTTTTCTGCCAGCCCAGACCCTTCTTCTGTTTCACTTTCACTCTTGACAAACTGGAGCAGGACACGAAACGGTAAGATAATCATTTTAACATTTGGAGATAAAATATTTAACTTGTATATTACGTTGTGTATTCACTTTAACTGATAAGTGTTGAATCAGTTCTCCCTCGTCTTTCATTGAGTTGCCATGGCAACATTTAACTTAATAAATGTCTGGTTTTGTGTTTCCAGGTGAGAGGATTTTCCTGCTAAATCTTTCCCACCATGTTTCCCTTCCTGCTGGTGCTTCTTCTTCTCTGTCCTCCCTCATCTGGAGCTCAGATCCCAAACCAAGACCAACCCAAAGACCCCCCCATCGCCACCAATGGTCAGCCCTTCCCTTGGGACCGAATGAGGCTTCCCCAAACTGTCGGCCCCCTGCACTACGACCTGACCCTCCACCCAAACCTCACCACCCTCGACTTCACCGGTGTTGTTCGCATCAGTCTGGATGTGCGCGAAGCCACCAGCACCGTGATTCTCCACGCCAAGCAGATGCAGGTATCCAATGTGCTGCTCCTGGGTCCTGATGGTGCGAGGCCCCTGAAGGTGTTGGAGTATCCTGGTTTCCATCAGCTGGCCCTGCTGTCGGACTCGGTTCTGACCAAAGGCAGGAATTACGAGGTCCAGCTGGAATTTGCTGCAAACTTGTCCGACAGCTTTCATGGCTTCTACAAAAGCAGCTATCGCACAAGCAGCGGGGAGGTCCGGTAAGACCAGAATACCTCTGTGAAATGTTCCGCAAGTATTTTTCAACAATAGCTTTCCCCTTTGTCTAATTTTTACTTCACACAGAGTCATGGCGTCTACACAGTTTGAGGCAACATTCGCTCGCGGTGCCTTCCCCTGTTTTGACGAGCCCGCCTTCAAAGCCAATTTCACCATTCGTATCACACGAGAGCCACGCCACATAGCCATTTCCAACATGCCCAAGGTCCGTGTGTTCACATTTTTTTAGCTACGCATGTCTCAAACGAGGATCAGCTGCAGGTTAATAAACTCTCACACACGTAATGGCTGTGAGGTGACTTCTTGTGTTTCTCAGGTTAAAACCGTAGAGCTGCCTGGTGGTTTACTTGAGGATCACTTTGACACGACTGTAAAAATGAGCACGTACCTGGTGGCCTATATCGTGTCCGACTTCCTGTCTGTGAGCAGGACCACGCAGCGCGGAGTTGAGGTGAGGTACAGGCGTTCTCTAGGAATACTTGTAATTATTCTTAATGAGGCGGGCTTCGACTGCCATGTAAACGTTTGCTCATAGTTCTGTGCTGCGATTCCCATCAGATCTCCATTTATTCTGTCCCTGAGAAGATCAACCAGACGGCGTTTGCTTTGGATGCTGCAGTCAAGCTGTTGGACTTCTATGACGATTATTTTGATATCCCTTACCCGCTTCCCAAACAGGGTTGGTGGAGATGCAGTTTATTATTTAGCTTTTATGACAAAATAGAGCATATTTCAGGGACAAGACATAGATATTAAATAATTTGTTGGTGCATGTGTCAGAGGACCAGCTGCTTCATATTTACAGTATTTTCTTCCTTTTCGTTGTGTTGCAGACTTGGCAGCTATCCCTGACTTCCAGTCTGGAGCGATGGAGAACTGGGGTCTGACCACCTACAGAGAGACTGCCCTCCTCTTTGACCCTGACAAGTCCTCCGCCTCCGACAAACTGGCCATCACAAAGGTCATCGCTCACGAGCTTGCTCACCAGGTAGTAAAAAATAAATCCTGTGCGAATGTATTTCTGAATGTGAAGACCCATTTTTTTGTTAAAATGCTCTTTTCGTGCGTTTTCAGTGGTTTGGAAACTTGGTGACGATGGAGTGGTGGAACGACTTGTGGCTCAACGAGGGTTTTGCCAAGTTCATGGAGTTTATTTCCCTCGACATCACTTACCCAGAGCTGCATGTGGTGAGAGCTGAGCGCAGAAAACATTTCTTTTTGTAGTTATTCAGTTTTTATTTTAATTACATTTAATTCAGAACCTTCCTATTGCAGAACAGACATTTGTTTAAATCAAATAGAACGAACTAGAATATGGAAACATTTTGTTTTCTGGCAACAACAAGCACCTAAAAACAACTCTCTCATTGCTGTCTTATTCTCAGGATGACTTCTTCTTGGGCAAATGTTTTGAGGCTATGGAGGTAGATTCTCTCAGCTCGTCCCACCCCGTCTCCACTCCGGTGGAAAACCCCACACAGATCCAGGAGATGTTCGATGATGTGTCATACAACAAGGTCAGCAGTGAAAGACTCCGGCATTCGATGATCTCGCACTAAAATTGTGCAGAATATAAAACATTTTGTTTAAATAATTATGTGGATAGATTATAGAAATGGCAGTAATTCTGCAGTGTTACCTTTAAATGGGTTATGTTATAGGGAGCGTGTATTCTGAACATGCTTCGGGACTTCCTCACTCCTGAGGCCTTTGAGATCGGCATCATTCGATACCTGAAGCGCTACAGTTACCAGAACACGGTGAACAGCCACCTGTGGGAGAGCCTGACTGATGTGAGTGACGAGTCTCCCAGGGTCTTACTCTTTCTGCAGTTTTTATCATCCAAAATGAGTAAAACTTACCGAGTCTTTTTACAGCAGGAATAGATAATGCTGATTACACACACGTTATTCAGCCTTGCCCATTCTTTCCTAATCCACAAAGAAGTCAAAAAGCACAAAGGAAGGTTGGACTCACTTTCATGCAGCCAGAGAAATAACAACACAAAATGATTTTTATTGCAAATATCAAAGTAATCCATGAGATTTGAAACTTCATTGACATTGGAGGTGATCACAGTCTGATGATCAAACCCTTTTAAGCTCAGATTTATTTAGAAATCACTCATTTACAAGATTTAAGGGATGAAAACATATCTGTCAAATGTAAGGATTAATTGTCCTGTGATGGAGTGAAGAGGGGAATTGGAAATACCCTCAGTCTGCCCGCCCGTCCATCCATTTTGTGAACTGGATACTTGTTTTTTGTCTAGATATTTATTGAGAATGTACAACAAATTAAAATTTACAATTAGTGTACAACAGTACCGGCCACCTTTATCTTTTGAGGAAGCTATGCTTTCTAGTTTTTATTTTGCTTAAAAGTATTTTTCCCTTAAATAATTGGGGTGGCCTGTGGGGTGGCGGGTGAAGAATAATCTATGGTTACCAAGGCCACCATTGGCCACCCCCTGGCTCCGCCATTGCCCCTTGTGGCGGATAAAATTGCTTCATCTGCTCGCTAGGATCCACCGCTCTGTGCTGCCTTGGACAAACAAAACAAAACAAAAACTACGTCTGTTCTTCCTGCACAGTGCATGTCTTGCACCAAAAACATTAAGGTTCACTTGCATTTTATTGATCAGCAAAAATGGTTCAACATAAACAGCGATCAGTGAGCGAGTTAAAACGGCAACAAAAGAAAATCTTTTGCGGCTCAGAAACTAAAACCTCCAAAGGTTTGTAGCCGATCAAGCAGCTGCTAATATTCATGAGTCTTTACACTTCGTCTCTTTCATTCTGTGACGATTGGTTTTTGGAAGGTAGTACTGTGTATTTCCCTGCTCATTTAATCCTGCAGGATCTGTGATGTAGTTGTCCTGATATCCTGGTGTGTTAGTGAAGGTGTAAGTGTAGATTAGTTTTGTCTGATTATTTCGTTGTTCGTTTGTTTTTGACTGCCAAATTCTGCGTTTGATGCCATCAGATCTGCAGCTCTGATGATTTGGACGTAGGTCGGATGAGACACGTGGAATTCTGCTCCAAACGTAAACTTCAGTCTGGAGCCTCTGTGAGTAAAACGATTCATTCTGACAACAAAACCGATCCAATTAATCACATTAAACCACAATTACCTGATCAAAAACCTTTTTGTAGTTGGACTTAATTACAAGTCTCTTAATTAATATTTTTCCCCAAAAAATCTTATTTATTTCTGTGTTATTTTTTGTCACAAATAATACAAATACCAGGTTCTGATGTAAAACCACTTGTTTATGTGTGAATGTGGTTTAGAAGTGGTACTCTGGCGACGAGCTGGATGTCAAGGCCATCATGGACACCTGGACGCTGCAGGAGGGCTTCCCACTGGTCACTGTGGAGGTCAAAGGTCGGGAGGTCAGGCTCAGTCAGGAGCGTTTCCTGAGGGCAGACGACCCCTCCCTCACTGAAGGGTAAGAGTAAAACAGATATAAATGTGCAGTATTTGTTTCTGCAGAAGCCCCATCTTTTGACTGCAGGGAATGTTTTAAACTCTTATAGAATTAAAATATTATTTTTATTTATCATAACTTCACAAAGAAATTTTTTTAGATATTACACATTCTTTATTAGCTCTAATGCAGAACTCGTCTTTCACAGCTTTTCATCTCCTTTATTTTTTTTTTAAATTTACATTATGTGTTTCTAGATTCTTGTGGCAGATCCCACTAACATACCAGACAAGTGCGTCCAGCACCGTCCACCGTTTCCTTCTCAAAACTAAAACTGGTGAGTATTTCGCTCAGTCTCAAGGTTTTCTGCTGGTTTCATAGACCTCAAACATCCACTCTACCCATTCTTCACACTTTAAAGCTTGTTGTGTTCCCTACCAATCAGATGTCCTGTACCTGCCAGAGGAGGCGGCCTGGGTGAAGTTTAATGTGAACATGAGTGGCTACTACATGGTCCATTATGCAGGCGATGGCTGGGACTCCATTATTAAAGTGCTGCAGCACAACCATACGGCCCTGTCTGGCAACGACAGAGCCAGCCTCATCCAGAACGTCTTTCAGCTTGTCGGGTCCGTTTCCCACTAGAAAAGTTTGAATGCATCACACAACATTAATGTTATTGTGTGTGTTTGCTGAGTCAGCGTTCACCTGTTTGTTATTTTTCTGTACTTTTTTTTTTAATTTTACACTTTCTTAACCACTCATGTTTCAAAACGTTCAGCTCATTCAGAAGGTGGATGCTTTGACTTTTGTTATATGTAACTTATATTTTTTGAGGCGTTTAACTTTAATTACATATTTTCTTCACAGAAATACATTGAAATTCTTCAAAAACATTCTCTTTGAAATCTGCATTAGCATACTTGCTGTACACTACTTTGATTTTTAGCTGCCGTTCTGCTACGTTCAACTTTTACTTACCATTTAGCTACTTTTAGTTTTTAGCCCGTCTTGTTACTTTGTCTTCTAGCTGGCTTTGATAAATTTTAGCTTTGAGCTAGCCATGCTTTGCTAACCCTTTGCTCCTTTTACCTTAGTTTTTGCTACTTTTGGCTTTTAGTTAGCGTTTTACTTAATTAACTAGTGTTCAAAATTGTTTTGCTTCTGTTAGCTGTTAGCTCATGTTATTTTTAACTTCATTTTAGCTTCTGTAGTCATTCAGCACTCAGCATCCATACAAAAACACAGTTTTTGTAGTATTTTAATTATGATCCAATTATACATTCAAATTAATACCAACCGTACGGTTCAGAAAGAAAATCTGGTTACATTGTTTTCCTCTATTTTAAGCTTTGAAGCTTTTTATGGTTGATTTCTTTCAAGAGCTGGTTTCAGGGCTGTTCTGATGAGAAGCGTGTTCTCCGCTGCAGTGTTGGGAAGGTGAGGCTGGACACGGCCCTGGAGCTGTCTTTGTACCTGTCCAGAGAGACTGAGATCATGGCTGTGACTCAGGGCTTTGGAGAACTCGTTCCTCTTTACAAGCTGATGGAGAAAAGAGACATGCCTGAGCTGGAGAACCAAATGAAAGTAAGCAAATTAATTATTGCATAAAAATCTTGACTACCAGTTAGTTTCTAAAACATTATGAACCCTTATTATAACTGATATTACAACTATACTTTAAAGTATTTCATTTTTTCAATATTTCCTAACTAAAAGACTCTGCAGTCACAGTGTTGTTAGCATAACAGCATGAGTGACAACATAACCAGTAACATCCTGAGTTTGTCTGACTTGTTGGCCCTTTCGTGCAGATTGTACAGCCCGACTGCTCGTGTGTTTCAGAGTTTCATCGTGGATCTGTTCCGGGATCTGATCGACCAGCAGGAGTGGAGCGACTCTGGTTCGGTGTCTCAGCGAGTGTTGAGGAGTTACCTGCTGCTGTTTGCCTGCGTCAGAAACTACGCTCCCTGTTTGAAGAAAGCCACTCAGCTCTTTAACCAGTGGAAGGATTCTGGCGGCACCATGAGGTCAGAGGTCACAGTCCCAAACAGCACAACCAGTGTTTCTTTCAGTATTTATAGGCACTTGTATGCAGAGATTTAGCATTTTCTGGGTATGTACTCTGAAACAGAGATTTTTCCCCCCCCATTTTTAGCCTCCCTGTGGATATCACAATGGCCGTGTTTATGATCGGAGCTCGCACACCAGAGGGGTGGGACTTCCTGTTCGAGAAGTACCGCAGCTCAATGCAGATGTCTGTCAAGAGTCGCATGAAGTTTGCAATGGCCGTCACCCCGCTGCAGGATAAGCTCAAGTGGTGAGCATCAGCAAATCATAAATACAGAGGCAGAAATGTAATTTGCTCCAGCTTCTACATTTTCTTCTTGCTTTCTGTCTGCAGGATGATGGAGCAGAGCCTTGGCGGTGAAGTGATGAAGACCCAGGACCTCCCTGACGTGGTTGTGTCTGTTGCCAAGAACCCCCGTGGCTACAAGATGGCCTGGGACTTCCTCCGAGCCAACTGGGTCACCCTGATCAAGAAGTAAGTCAAGTTTCACACCCTGCAATACTTGATTTGGCCTTCTTATTATCACACTCTTTCCCCAAATATAGTCCAAACAACATTTGCCATGGAGATGTGATTTCACTTTATAAATGTGTGTTATTTTAGGAATTAGAGAAAGATTATAAAACTTGTGCTAACTTGTGACAGTATAAATTTTACAGACTATTTTGTGTTTACAGCTTGATGTTTACACTAACGTGGGGACAGTTACACGGAGTGTGTTTCATACTAATAGTTTTGCATCTTGGGATCCAGTTAGTCCAGTCTTTGGTTCGGTATTTTTGCTGACTGACTAGTTTCCCAGATGATTACCGGTAAGTTTAAAATACGGGTTTAAAATGACACTCTTCTGTTGATGCAACAGGTTTGACCTTGGCTCCAACTCTGTATCCTACATGGTGACTGGAGTGACCAACCAGTACTCCACCAGAGAGATGCTGAATGAGGTAAATGACGCCTTTTGGGTGTTTTGTTACATTTTTAGAATACAGTAGTCTCTCACTTATTGCGGGGGTTACATTTCAGAAACCCCAGTGATAGGTGTAAATCCACAAAGTAGGGACATTATATTTATTTTAATATTTATATATACTTAAATGCTTTATTAACCTTTCCCACACTCTTGCAATGTTCTTAACAATGTTATAAACTCTCCAAATGCTCTAAAAGAACACGGTGAAAGAAAGCAGACAGACTGATGCTACGGTTACTGAGCCAATCGCCGAGGTGGACTGGCCATCGGGAGCACCAGGACATGTCCCGGTGGCCTGGCCCACTCAGTGATCACCGAGAGGCTGGACTAAAGGCTTGGTTCGGGTTGCACTTTATTTTAAATTAACAATCCATGTCACTCAGTCAGGTATCCGCCTCACTGAAGCTCCCCGAGTAGTAGCGATGGGGATAGACAGACCCCCCCTCCACCTCTCCTTTCTTTTTTTGAGGCCGTCACAGCAGAGCAGAGACACACATCAGGTTGCATGCCTGCCTGTTGTGTGTCTCTGCTCTGCTGTAACAGACAACCTCAGAAAGATAAACCCTCGACGATCACTGAGCGGGCCAGGCCACCGGGAAATGTCCCGGTGCTCTCGATGTCCTGTCCGCCCCTCAGCACAATGCTCTGGTTGGTCGCCTTCCATCAATCAGCCAATTGTGTCGTGTACAATCTTAAGTTGAAAACTCGCGAAAGAGTGAGTCCATGAAAGTTGAACCGCAAAGTATCGAGGGATTACTGTATATTTATAGGTACCCTAATGACAATAACAAGATTATTTATAGATAGATAGATAGATAGATAGATAGATAGATAGATAGATAGATA